CTCTCCTAAAGCGGATAGAGCAAATAATCCAATCCCATAACCCTCTCATCAGTCAGAGTGACCTGCAGCGAAGCTGACAGCTTTCTACGTCAGCCCATCCTGGTTTATGTTTCTTCCTATTGTATGACCTCTTCTTTAAGCAACTAAAGTCCCATTCTGGTGTTTTGAAATTATGTTTTTTCCCCAAACACAGTGATCTAATCACTACGTGATGCACCATGTTTTTCCGTTAGGTAAGCCCAGGAAATTTCTATTTATCTGTATAATAAGCCTGTCTTTGCACATCCGGGTAACACAACACTGGTGCAAGAGGTCAAAGCAGGCTTTGAAGACTTGCTCTTAAATCTGTATTTACCCACCTTAATGTAAGGGACCTGATTGTCTCCGAATGCAAAGGGAGCTGCAGATACTCCGTGTTTTCAACTAGCAGCTATCTGGCTTGGTGCCTGACAGTCATCATCAGGAGCAGATCACTAAAGGTACTTATGGCTTTCGGCTCCCTCTGCAACGCTCTGGCAACCAGTCTGAAATTCTGACCTCTGACCTTGACATTGATTTTGCTTATGTAATGATGCTAATGCCTGTTGCAAATCCAAATGCATACATGACCAAGGATGGATAGCGCTCTTGCTTCCTCTCCCCCTGCCCTTTTTTTTTTTTTAAAAAAGGGACCAGCTGAAAAGCACTTGGTTCATACGATACTGATGTGCTCCAACCCCCTGCCCAGTCTCTTATGCAGAAGACATGCATTTTGACCAACAGCAAGAACTACACAACAGACAGAACACTGCATGAAAAATGAACAGTCTGTTGGAAATGTAGTAGGTACGAAAGAGATCACGGCTGGGGCTGAAGCACGCATGTCCTAACCATGCAAATCATGCAAATACACGTTCAACCATTTCTGCTCAGTGCTGCAGATCACACCCTTGCAGTGCAATGAAGTTACTGAGAAGGCTTCAATGACATTGATGAGCTCTGGATTAGCGTCCTTGGAAATCTGTCACTGTTGCTAGCACAGGAGGACACCTACCCTCCCAAGAGTAGGTGCAGAGCCTCACACAGAGGACTTGCTTGATTCTGCTACACTGGGACATTTCCACTGCTTAGGTAGGGGTGAATGATGCCTTGTTCCAGTTCCATGTTATTTTACCCGATTCCCCCAAATTCCAGCAACCTGAACATTTAAATCCATAGCTACTCCTTCTCTTGGCTTGCTTGCTTAAGAAGCTGCCCATCCACTGGGTAAGTTTGGTGGCCAGTATCATTTGTCAGAGGGGACCAGAATAACCAGGGAAGGAATTCCGCAAATGGAAACCAGGAAAACCAGGCAGAAGTGAGATTCAAATTAGAGCTTGGGCAGAGGGAAATGCTGTTAAAATTCAGACACTTTTCCCAAGAGGCAAGAGCCAAGGGGACACTCTGGGCACACATACTGGCTGACCAACCACCCACACGTAGCTCAAAACAGAAATGTGCAATCACATCTTGCTGACAAAGGTCCTTTACTTTTCATTCTTCCATTTCCATGAGTCCCCAAAATTTCATACTTCCCAGTTCATAGGCAATGTGCAACCAATTGCTAGGGACTAGCAGCATGCTGCTGATTACATGCATGACTCCATGCTGCCTTAAATAAACCCAAGCACAGAACAGCATTTTTGGTGGGATTTGCACATATGGAGAGCAGCAAATTTGTGCGTAGAGCACGTTTCTATTTTGAGAAAAATATTTCTCATGTTTACTTATTGGACTAGTAGCAACAACTCTTACTTTAGAAAGCAAGTTTTATTTATTGGCTTTGTCCTTTACAGAGTGCATCTTGCCTTTTACAGTTTGTTTAGATTTTTTTTTTTTAAATTTCCCTCTCTTCTATAATTTACCACTAGAAGACACTATCTTTCTATTTACAGCTGTGATATATTACAAGGATTAAATAAGCCTTCATTACAAATACACAGGCACAGTGCTTTCTTCCTGAGCTACCTCAGAAATTCCATATGCATAAGAGAAAACAGTAAAAAACCCTGCAATTTCAGTTAAACAGAAAACTCTCTGTGAAGACCAAAGGCACAAAATATTTGTTACTAAGCAGAAAGCATTCTTTCATATGGGATAAAAAGCAAACACTTTATTAAATGGTCATTTTACCCTGCAGCAAGGCTGGCCCATCTAGTCTAATGACAATGGAAGGATGAGCATCAGTAATAGGATTTGCTATTCTTGAGCTACAACAGATCCAAAGCTCACAGAAATTAAGCGGTATCTTCAGGTATATACTTAGGGCTTGGGCTTCTTTTCTGGATTTTTTTTTTTGCTGAAGAAGTGACATTTGGGACACAAAGGTCTTCATTGATATGAAGAAGTTGTAATTTTTGCTTTCTTCACTCAGAAAGTCTGACATAAAGACAGGAAAGTAAAGAAGTTACACAATGATCAGTCTCTTAAAATATGTATGTGAAGTCACCATATGCATTACAAAATATGGTCTAATACACTGATGATCAGCAGAACTAACCAGGAAAATTTTTTTTCAACCCATTAGTATTTTTCAAATAAAAACATAAGGAACAGCTTTCAGTTGTCAAAACAATGACAAAAGCTAATGAAAACACAACACATCTTCTAAATCAGCAATGTTTTCCCCCACAAACATTGCCGTTCATCTGGCATGTCACATGCTGTTAAAAGTGGTGCAAAGGGAAAACTTCAGATCAGCAGCAATGCAGCTGGTATCCTGAAAGGTCTGTCAGTACTTCCTTAGAACTAAGGGACACAAATAGCTCTAGTGATAACATCTATTATCACTTTACCATCGCCACACATCATGCTGTTGCTGTTTGACTTGATAACCCTCCCAGGACATTCTGCTCTCACCAGGAGAGCTGAGACTGCACATTTACATTAAAAAGAAAAAAGAAAAAATTTAAAGCAGTAAGGATTTTATAAGACATAGTTGCAATGGCCAGGGACGTACGTTCTCCAGCATGCAAGCCCATCCCTATTTAATGCAACCATCCCCACGCAGCTAACTGCTGCCTCTGACCTCTGTGCTCCACAAGGCTCTCAGGCTGACTTAGGTTTAAGCATGTTGTATTAACAGATGACCTTAATGAATTTCTGAAAGACAGCGCTGTCGGTCAAATAATTAGGGCTCACTTACAGTTGGGTGTGCAAACATGAGTGCTGTGGTCTGTCCCCATGGTTGCAAAGCGCAGCTGCTCTTACGAGAGCTGCTGTCTGGCAGAGGACGGCCTCTAGCTGTCCCCACTGCCAGGCACACCAGATTTCAGTGCATCTGTAAAGCTGGGGAGGTTGCAACTTTAGATCTGAGACACCTTGTGATGGGTTGTTACAAACTGCTCTGTTACCCTGTCTGCTTTACTGTCTCAGCACTATGCATTGACATTTCCTCATGGAGGTACTTGCACAACACGCTCCAGAGCTGGTAGCACCCACATTTCTCCAAATATTAGGAACCCAATTTTTTCTTTGGAAAATACTGCATGCCCAGCATATAAAAGAACACCACCCCATCACCCAAAAAAACCCCAACCAGGAACAAAAAAAACCCTGTCTAAACCCTTCACAAGGATGTGGGAGAATTTCCTACCCTGGTGATTGCCCATTTTTGCCCACACACTCAGTGCAATAGCTTACACCTTTTTCCACTGCACTTTCTTGAAAGGAAGAGTATGTACTACAGGACAGCCAGCTCATCCTGTAACCAAGCTTCCCACGGATCACCTTGCAGTTACATGTTCATATGCCCTTGTCCTCAGGTGCTTAATTGGGAAACACCTGGCTTGATCAGCCTAATTCTCACAGCACCAAGATAAGAATGATAAATATTTATAACTCCACTGAGCGGAAAGGAGAACAGTTTGCGTGACTTGCTCCAGGCTCACACCCTGACTCAGTCCCAGGGCCAGGATTAAGTTTTAGTAGTTCCCCACTCCCAGGTCTATGGTCAGCTTACCAGCCTGTGCATCGTCAGGATTGTTGCCTCATGCCACGCTGCAGAAGAATGGTGAAATGCAGCTTTCTGTGCTGTTATGATTCACCTAATCTTTTCAGATTTATTAGGCACAAAAGATCAGTAATATAAACTTTACGGAGAGCTTTCATTTGTTAAGCAATCAGTTCCCATCTCTAATGTTTCACCAAAAGTGTGGCCAGTTTTCTGGTTCGAGCCTGCAACAGACTGCTTGAGTTTCATATCCTGTATTTTTAGTGCCTTTCAGGGCTAAAAGCTATGAAACAGCAAAGCATACAGAGAATCAAACCCTCTCTTTCCTCATGGAACAAAGAAAATCCTCAGCATCAGCAGACAGAAGAGCTTTTTGTAGATGTCCACGTAAGTCGTGGGAATGACTTACAGAGCTTTGACCCAGCATACCCACATAGCAGTCCATCACTGACATGACAAAGATTTTTAGTTTTGCCCGTGTGAGAAGGGATTAGCTTCATATTTCTGTTTCAGATTTCATTGAATAGCAATTAATCCAGTAATCTGGATCTATGTGCTGACAACAATCTGTCTACAGATCTATCTGCCTGAAATGAGCAGTTCAGGCAACCCTTAAAAATAAATGGACTTGGAAAATGAATAGGTTCCCGATTCCAAGGAGGATTAAAAAGAAAAAAAAAAAAAAAAAAAAAGAAAAAAAATACTACACATTCCCATTAAAGAAAATTTTACAATCACTACTTCACCCCATGTTCCCAAAATTCTCCGATGACTGAGAAGGAACAGTATAATGAAGAAACCCCCACCCAGGCACCTTCAGTAAGAAACTGGCCAGACATCTTTTGAAAGAGACTGACATATATCCTAATTGCTTTTTATGAGACGATGAGAAGCTCTACAATTATCGTGTGTATTTTGATCTTCACTGATGCCTAACAGCTGCAGGAAATTACACACCGTGCTGTACCTGCTGTAAGCTTATCCCTTTTCTATCCTGTTATTAACCATTCTCCTTTTTGAACTTGCAGCTTCCCCTACTCCAGCCACCAAAATGGAAGAAAATGCCAACACCAGCTTCGAAGAAGATTTTGAAGGACAGGCAACACACACAGGCAAGGAAATTAACTGCATTTTTTTTTTCTTCTAAAAATAAGCTAAACTGTCCCTGTTCACCGGGGAAGCCTAGGATTCGAGTAGATCCAACTGGTTTGCCAAACCCCTTGCGAAATGTGAACTCCAAAGCCAATGAGAATGTACTTTGGAGTAAGTGACATCCCTCATGGAAGGCCAGGTAACACCAAACTGATCTTTGTGCCAATCCTCCTCATGCCTGAAGCAAATGGCAAACACAGAAGACGCCTGGAGAAGCCACCAACAGCAATGGCCCAGTGCAGTTCTTCTTGGTTTATTGCTTCAGTCATGAACAATGGCCTTTCTTCTTCTGAGGAAAAGAGAAGAAAACAAAACAGCAACAAAAAAAACACACTCACATGCTAGAATTAGATTACAAGGTTTCACTATACAAGCTGAATTATTTTTTTCTTCTTATAGAAGGAACATTCAGTGCTAAAAGTGTACCTATAAATCCTTTTGGCAAACACAGCATAGCATGTAAAAGCTTTAAAAGCATCCTTGCTCAGAATCACAATTCTTTTTAATTCAGCACTCAATCGCTACGAATTTTATGAAGACTGACATTCTATTCAGCTCTACAGACAGGTATGACTTCATCCCACCCCACCAACAGGTAACTATATGACAATCATTCCCTCTCCAAGGGCTTCTTTTTCTTTGTGCTATAATAAATGTAGCTCTTGTAATAACTCTTTTTGGGGGTCTTTCCCAGCCAGCATTGCTGCTGTTGGCTAAGATTATAGGGACTCAAATGAAGGGTGCTACATCCATACCTAGGCTTTGAAATAGTTTTGGAAATCAGGCTACTGCACACTTAATCGCTATTGCTATGCCAAGAGGTTCAGGCTAATTCCTGCTTTGGAATCTTGTCTGCAAAAGATCAGTTCACCTTCCCTTTCCACCGATGGGTGTAGTGCCTTAAGCCACCACTTCAAGATGTTGAAATTTAATCCAAAACAGACTCTTGGCAGCTGGCAACACCACATCTCTCTCACGAGACGGAGAGCTGCTTAACTAGCCTTTCCTAAATTTCCTAGACTTCGCCTCTGAAAACACTAAAAAATTCCTTGGTTTTGCTTTATATTCTGAGATGAAGATTAAAATGTTTGCTTTTGAAAAGCACCACTGGAATTTTGAATTGAAGAGACCTCCCCCCCCATTTCAAAATTTAACTGCTTTAATCAACCAGCTCTGAAGAGTAAGATCTGCATTACAATCAGAATTATCATAGCATTGCCTTACAGGTTACTCTTCCAGTGGAACAGGTTTAAAAAAACCCACACACACACACACAAAAAACCAACACAAAAAAACCCCAAAACAAAACAAAAAACCTCAAGTATCCTGTATTCTTAGTTTTACTGTCAATATATTAAAATAGTCCTTATGCATGTTATGTATTCAAAGACACTGCCTATAGAGAAATGCAAATACACTTTTAAGAAACACTGGCTTTGGCCAAAACGTCAGTTTTAACAGGTTTCAACATCCTCAGCCTTCTTAACTACTCTCATAGTTCACCAAAATCCTTTTACAGGCTCCTGATATAAACCAGACCACCAAAGTGATCCAGGTTAGAAACAGAACTCTCTTTCTGTTGGAGGCTAATGTAACACATTGGTCTCACAGCTCTGGTTATCAGCTCTCCTGGAGAATGCTCTGGAAGGAAGAGCGATGGATGGATAAACCACAGCACAGAAGGACAAACCAGCAAAGGGCAAAAACATCTTAAGACAGATTCTTGTTGAGCCAGTTTCTTACCTAACTTCATCTCTCTTAGGGCCCAAAGGTGTGATCAATGACTGGAGGAAGTTTAAATTAGAAAGCGAAGACAGAGACTCCTTATCCTTGAGCAAGAAAGAAATTCTTAGACAAATGTCTTCACCGCACAGATCTTTCAGTAAATGTGATAAAGACACAAGAGAGAGATTCTGCCGTAAGGTAAGAGAAGAAAAGAAAAATAAATTCATTTTGATTCTATATAAAACACACCAGTTATAAGCTAGAAAACCCTGAATTTGCCAGACTCAATTCCTTTGCAGCTTAGCAGAGCTCAGATGATACGGACAGAACAAATGCATGTCCAACCAACTATCTAGTCCTCTCTCAAGCAAAGTCTAACTTCAATAAAATAAGCAGTATATTTCACAACAACCTATCACACAACACAGAGTTTGACCTTTCTTCCTCCACTCCCTACCTTGATGCTCTATCCTTGGTTAATGCAATTGAAAATTTTTAACATGCTTAAAGCCCTGCTAGTTAGGATAGAGCTCTGAGCCTGAACGACACTCATTACCATTGACCAGTTCTGAAAGTGGGGGACCCAAACCCCCAAAAAGCACAGGAACTACACTTTGACCCCTCTACAGTCATGGGCAAAATTCCCACCAACTCTGGAAGATCCAGAAGTTTTTGCCAAATATGGCAACTGTCTTCAATACCATCACATTGACATGCAAGTGTTGAGACAGGATCTTCACGTGTCTCTTGAAGAGACCTCCCAGAGTCACGATAGGAAGTGACTGCTCTTCTGGCTAAGCTTTCGATGCAACGTTCTTTAGACAACAACTTAGTCTCTTCCTGTTTCAGTGCTAACAGATGACCACTTATTAATATAACATTCTCTCAATATTCACAGATGAGCATGAAGGAGTATGAATTAATTCATGATGAGCAAGAAGATGAAAGTTGCCTACAAAAATACCGCAAACGCTGCATGCAGGATATGCACCAGAGGCTGAGTTTTGGGGCAAAATATGGTTATCTGTGTGAGCTGCAAAATGGGGAACAGTTCCTAGAAGCCATCGAGAAAGAACGTAAAACTACCACCGTCATCGTCCACATTTACGAAGATGGCATCAAGGGTTGTGATGCTCTCAACAACAGCTTGACCTGCCTGGCGGCCGAGTATGCCACTGTGAAATTCTGCAAGATCAAAGCCTCCAACACAGGGGCTGGAGACCGCTTCTCAAACGAAGTGCTTCCCACTCTACTTGTCTATAAGGGTGGGGAGCTTCTGAGCAATTTCATTAGCATTTCTGAACAATTCAATGAGGATTTTTTTGCTGTGGATGTGGAGTCTTTCCTAAATGAGTATGGGCTGCTACCTGAAAGGGAGCTTCCAGCACTGGGAAATGGCAACACAGATGAGCAAGATGTTGAATAATTAGAGAGCCGTAGTCCTCACTGTCTCCCTTTCCTCTTCAGTATGTTGTGAATCAATCCCAGTAACACTCGTCTTATTTAGAGAAGGCTGTCTTTGCTAACTTGTTTGTAAGATACACATATATAAACATTGCTTAACTGTTAGTATGTGAATTTTACTTAAAACACATACAACTGACAGTCCTGTACATAATTATTTCTATGCCAGCCACAAGTAATAGGAAGAACAGGAGATGATACTAGTGATCTCCAAGAAATTAAGGAAAAAAAAAAAAAAAAAAAAAAAGTAAAATTGGAGGGTCCATGCGTTTCTCCATTAAGCACAAGAAGAACTTAATTTCAACAGGAACAGGACTGATCCATCCCCCTGCATACACAAAGAGCCATCTCCATGCACTGGAATTACAGCGAGTCCTGACTCCTCAGATTCACTTCTACCAACTTCAGTAGGAACAAGATTTCATCCAGCAGTTTTAAGGACAAACAAACAGCCCAATGTCCTTGCATTCCTACATGGCTTAGGTATCTAGGATATTATTTTACGCTTCTCCATTTAACTTTCAATATTCATGAAAATACAGAAGTTAGCTCAGTGCTTCTATAAGTTTGTCATCCAAACAGCTAACACAGACACATTGACAGCTAATTTCAGTTCATTGTTGCTCCGTATTTTGAACAGTAATATTTAAAATGTCTGCGAGTTACTGAAAAAGTATATTGTGCTTATGTAATAACTCTGAATAAAGCTTAACAACTCTCAAAAACCTGCCATTGGAAGTGTGAAATACATTGGTAGTATATAACCTTAAAACATGTGAAATGTTAGTAAGCACTCATTAGACATTTACTAAACTCAAAGTTTTAAGTTTTGCTAAAGGGATGCTGCTGAGAACTACAATTTAACTCCGTCTGAGAAGACGACACAGGGTAAACTCACTATAAACCTTCCTCTCTCTCTGTAGGTGTAAAAAAATCCACGTCCTCCAGTTCTGATACAAGACAACAAAACATCAGAAACATTTCAATGACTTCTTTTGCACACTGGCAAAGCTGAAGGCTGAATTTTACTCTGAGGACAGAAATATCTGTATCTGAACCGCACACAATTTTGCTGATAACAGTTGAGATTATCAAAATGTCAAAGATTATTTCCCAGTACTCCTATGACTCACCAGTTTTTATTTGATTTGATAGTTCCACGTTTTGCTCACTTTGGAGTGGGAGCTTTCAGTTTTGCTTTGGGTCAGGATCCCACCACAGAAATGGCACCTTGCAAAATTCTGCACATGGGTCGGTAAGAATTCAGAATTGAGTGACCAGTATATCAAGCAACCATTGCTGCAGTGATGTAACCCACACATTAAAAGCAGATTCTTATCACTGTTTTAAGCACATTTTTTTCTCCACTTTTCATTCACATGGAAAATTCTCAGGGGTAGCTGAAAGTTACGCTGCAAGTTACGCTACTTTCCAACAGATCTGCACAGCAAAACAATTCTACTCAAAAAGATTTGGGAAATATAACCCTGCAAAATCTTACTGAAGGAGTCATGAGACCCCTTTCAAACAAAATTATTTAAACACAACTTAGGCCTTGTTTTAAGTAATGGCCAAAAAAAGGAAAATTATCTTTTTTGTTTGTCCAATTTTAAAGATTATCAAAATGTTACTGAATTGTAACTTCAGTGTTGTTTTGCCATGCATTAATATTTTCACAGAGCACTAGAAACCTTGCCTCGTGTACACTAAGCAATATGAATGACATTCCCTATCATTGCTTAACAATGTAGAATCTTCTTCAACTTGTAGAACGACTAATGATTTTATTTCACCGAGAATTCAAATAGTATCTTCCCAAAATGTTATGATTTGTTTTGTAAATCTCTCAATGCAAGTTCTTCATAAGTTTTTCTGACAGAACTCCAGGTGAAATAAAGCTTTTCCCTTAGAGCAGTCCTTCTTCCCCTTAGTCAGGCATGATGTTTACCCCTCAGCTAAAATCACCTTCATCTTAGCATTTCATTTGCATCAGTAGGTTGACTCTTCAGAAAGCTACCATTTGCAGATATACCTAACATTATGAAAATCTCATGATCTTATAACAGGTTACGTGGAAAATAATGAATTATCTTCTATCACAAAAATAACCAGCTCCTTGAGTAGCGGGACAGTATTTGTCTTGTATTTTTTGATTATATGTTTTAAAGAAGAGGCGTGATAAATTTCTGTCCCCTACACACCAGAAAATCTCCACGTAACTGGTGGGAACTTAACATTTTTGAGAACTTTCCCTCTTTGTCAAACTTGTTTCAAAAGTTATTAGGCTGCACATGTGATCATGTAAGCTTCGTTTCTTTGAGAAACCAGGCTGAAAGCAAAAAAACTGTAACAAACAATAACCAGCACAGAAACTACATTTACAGCTAGTTATAAGAAATAAGCTGACACTCCAATTTAAGAGACAGATTAAGCATGCTGAAGCAGGATTTCCTTCAACCTGTAATTTAAAAAAAAAACCAAAAACAAAACACAAAGAAAAAGAAAACACACATGTGATGCCAAGTCCCACCAGAAGCTCATGACTAATGAAGTCGCAAATGAAGCTCTGATCACAGCAGTCATCCATATTTCTGCTGGGAAAAAAAAGCCTTAAAAACAAAAAAGCAAGACTTGACTCCAACATCATACTACTGTACAAAGATCCTTGAATAACAGAAAGTAAATGCTTCAATAAGCAGATGGGAGCAGCCTTCCTGCTACCCTCAGCTACGATTACTCCTCCTTTTGATTCAAAGTCACAGAGACCCTGAATGTCCTCAAATATTCTGATGCAGACAAAAACGGAGGGGGGCGGAATTAATTACCAGCGGTGTCACTGCTGATCAGACTAAGAACAGCAGCTCTAGTAGATGCATGTCTGTTATTGGCATGCCGAATGCTACCCCTCAGATGTGAGGAATTATAAACCTCATTGTACAAGACCACTGAGGCTTAAAACTACATTTTAAAACTACACAGCACAGAAAATAAGATTTCTGTAAAATTATTCCGTAACATCAATTTTAGAACTACACTTAGAAGAGCCAGATTTTCATATGTGGAAGTCCCAACCACTCCTCTAGACTCTTACATATTAAAATAAAAATAAAAATAGATCTGCAGTCATGGATATGAGTTCACAAAGCTCAATTTCAGTCACGGTGGAGTTTTCACAAACTGAAAGCTTCCGAAGATTATATAGGTAGCAGGAAAAGGATATACCTATATGAAACCTGAGCAAAAGTTAAGCAGCAGGCAAGAAATAGACTTTTAAAAGGTTGCTTTCCTTTTTTCTTACACACACCTTTTGATTTTTCTTAAAGAACTCATTTTCTTACGTTATCAATGGCTAGCAGTACAAAAAGGATGGGACAATAAAATCCCCTCTTGGTTAGTTCTGTAATTCTTCAACAAACGAGAACCTGCTTTCTTCTACATCCACTATTTACTCATGGCAGGATGACTGGAAGGCTCAATCTGTAGACACAAGTCAAATTACTCATTTTTTCTTTGACAGGGATAGATTATTTTCTTATTGCACAGATGGTCGTTAAATGCAGTCTCCTAGACTCCTGTATTAAAGCAGAAATCTCATCCAAAGCAACTTCTTTCTTTGCCGTCTTCCAACATCAAATTGGAAAATTAGCCTTCCACAGATCCTTGATACCTAGTTAGTTATAAGCTGAAGGACTAATTTGACAGTCTTTAGTAATACCATAAAGAAAAGGATCGTTTACTAAACATTGAATAATCTTGGGGGGGGAGAAAAACAGAGTGCTTTGCTAGGGGTTCCATGGAATAATACCTCCAAACAACCTCTACTTTTTACATCACAGGTGCTAGACAAGAAGAACTATTGGAAGAATGTTTCATGATGATTTTCTTCTCTGGTGTAAGACATTTAGCATCTCAAATGTTGTACTTCACTTCTATGACTGAGTTTTGAGTAACAGTCAACTACAGAATAACCATTTTGTATTGTACCTCCAAAAGCATTACCACCACGACCCCCCAGAAAAAGAAAAAAAAAAAAAAAAAAAAAAAAGAGGCAAAAGACAAACTTCTTTCTTCTCATTACTCCCCTGCTCCTCCTTCTAATAGAGACTTTAGCAGAGCAATTTTTAAACCAACCATCTTTTGAAGAATGTTACAAAATTAATCTCATTCTCTGGATAGCACTCAACTTCCCCCAGAATCAACTGCTTCTGCATAATGCCGTGCTGCTTATTGATTCCACCCATTTGCACAGAATAACATGCATCCATAAAGCATGCAGCCGCTGAAAACAGTGCCTCCATGACAACATTCACTTTCCTCTGAGAGGCCCTACGACAAACTTCTTTCTTCTCATTACTCCCCTGCTCCTCCTTCTAATAGAGACTTTAGCAGAGCAATTTTTAAACCAACCATCTTTTGAAGAATGTTACAAAATTAATCTCATTCTCTGGATAGCACTCAACTTCCCCCAGAATCAACTGCTTCTGCATAATGCCGTGCTGCTTATTGATTCCACCCATTTGCACAGAATAACATGCATCCATAAAGCATGCAGCCGCTGAAAACAGTGCCTCCATGACAACATTCACTTTCCTCTGAGAGGCCCTACTTGAGCAATACCGAGCACAGAAGATCAACACTGTGTTCCAAAATATAGTTACAACACTAAAAGCAGATCTTTTTCCAAACGCGTAAAAACAGAATACACAGAGGAGGCAATAGTATTTAAGACATCTTTCTCATGGTTGCCTTTTATTAAAAGTATCCCAGTACATCCTTGATTATGCTTTAGAACTGAGGTGTTTATAAGTTTTCTTAGTGTTCCAGTGCCTTTATACAAAAAAGAAATTTGCAGTGGTATTAAAATGCCCTAAAATCTGGAATTCTTTTCTATTGTAGTTCAGATTCAAGTAAACATCATATTTCATATAAGAATTATCTTTTTTCCCTCCTTCCGCTCTCCTCATGGCAAGTAAACAGTAATGTTATCGCCTAATGTACCCAGGAGAATAGAAAGCTATCTGTTGATAGTCTAAAAAACCCTGATTAGCAAAAAATTTTGACAACTTGCTTGTATCTACAAGATAGTCCACAAGGGCTGCCTAGATGTAGGTGTTGCTGAAATAGTCAATATTCCAAGAGAATGACGATTTAATCAGAGCTGGACAGAGAAATCCTCAAGAGTTATTGAGGAAAAGGCAGCATATACGCATCTCAAAATTTCTATGCATTTTATTGATTTCTGAGTTCTCCAGGTCTTGAACTAAGGTATCTACATGCTGAATTGGTCTAGTCTTGAAACTACTAGAAACTATTTGTATACCTATTATGCTAGGTAACCAATATAACCTAAAACAATGCATATGGTGAAATGTTGGCTTCATTAAATCTAGTTTTTCTCCAATTAACTTTAATGAAATGAGATTTTTCTTAGCAAAGGAACCCTTAAAGCAAGAATTGTCATACCAGGTAACTATGCTAGTCTTACCGATAGCCTGAAAAACACCAGTAGTAGCACTAACACAGCAAGTAGGAAGAAAATGAAGGTTCTACATTTGTTTAAGGGATCTTTCTAGAAAATACTACTATCATTCATTTATACAGAGTGACAGGGTTAGTTTCTTGTAAACTTGATTCACCTTCTATTGATATTGTACTCACATGATTCTACTCGATATAGTAAGTGCATGCCGGAACAAGGTAACTGAACCTACCATTACAATTTATATTGCACATCTAACTGGTGATATTTAGGCAACAATTCTTAATTACTAATATATTAAACCCAGATGTCTCCATCTTGTAACTGGCCAATACTTTCATGAAGCTCCAGTTGCTTGAGTTTAATCACTGAAGTAATTGAAAGAGAAGATCGATGCAAAGACTGCAACAGCAGCTGCTATTACCACACCTAAAATAACAAAGGAAATGCATTCAGTGAGTGGCAAGGGCAGCACAGTCATCAGCAGCTAGGGTGTGGAAGGCAGAGTCAAGGTGAATGACAAGCAGGAGGAGAAACAATAAGAGCCACCCCAAACACTATCTACCACTGCTAAACCTAAATCTAAAGCTACCATGTCAGACAATTAAATTATAAAAGCTCCACATGACATTTCTAATTAGAGCAGGATCCTTCCAGAAATCAGTTGACTGCATACTTCTGTAGTACCTTAGCCATGTCCTGGCCCATAAAATAAGGCACTGACTCTGCACTACTGCTTAATTCAGGAATCAGACTAGGAAAAGTAACAAAAATTTTAAGCTTTAAGAAACAAAAGCTATTAAGTTTTTTCTTTTCTGTGTAGCACTACATCGACTCTGTAAGTCTCTGTAGCACAACAGTCATTTTCCTATTGATTAACATATTTGTTACTGATGCAGTTGAGAAGACACAAAAAAATCCAAAACATCTGAGTGATGATTCAAGGGAAAACATTTTTACATCCAAAGCAAACACATATTTACTACTACTACTCTTTAATCTTCCAGTTACCATGTTCTACTTCTAAGAATTAATAGAAAACAAAAGTTACTGTTTTGTTAACTAAGTATAACTGTATTTTAATACAAAAAGACAGTCAAAACTCACAGCAAAGAGAACTGTACTAAGTGCAGACAGGTATATGAGAGCTGGACAAAGGAGTATCACGGAGAAGTTGTATGTAAAAGAAGAGTTCTGTGACTGTTCAGGTGTTCCCTGAATTATTGAGGCTGACAATTAGCACCCAAGCCCATATGTACGTCAGCTTCAGAAGAAGATTGGTGAGTCACTAGCCGATTTATGGATGCCTACTTGACAAAGCCATTCAACACTTTTTTGTTTTTTAAAGTATGGAATTCTAGAAGTGGTGGCTCTCCAAAAAAGAAATAAAGCTACATGAGCCCTTTTTATTGACTGGTAGGCTGAATGAATGCAAACACTGGTTTTGTTCCAACAGCGGGCTGTGGTTCTTTCTTCCCCAGAAACACCGTGCACCTACAACACTGAAATGGGAACTCATTTGAGAAAAGTATTGTATTAATCTCATCAGTTTATTAATAATGTTGTGGAAGCTAATTGTACTGAAAGGGCCCATTATAGTTTCTGGATTGCCAGAGCAAAATCAGGGAAGTAACATACCCATATTTTGTTGAAGTTTCAACAGCAATGTTGCTTTTGTCACTTGTTTCCGTTGTGTGTCATCCATGTTGTCAGTAACTGGACAAATATTAACTGCATGGAAATCAAGTGAAGAGTAAATACCAGGTGAAAAGCTAACAGTTGTGTTTTACAATTGAATTAACACAAAAGTCCAAGAACTTCATATCGACTTTATAAAACAAGCGGACGGTAGAAAAAACAGTTTCTTGCAGTAGAAATGGTACAGCAGCAACAGCATCATACTAACCCACTCTATATGGCTGGAAGAGTAGAAATAAAAAGAAAAATTACATTTGGGAAGGAGTTCCTCTTCCAAAACTCATTTTCCACACCCTGCTTCCAGAGTAACATATCCAACCCCCTTTACATAACCCAGAGAAAATCTGACTACTCTGAGAGGGAACCACCAAAACGAACCATTAATCACCTTCCAAGATCAAGGTTTTCCCTTCAAAGCCATTTGTCCGGAGTTCAGGCTACATGCAAAACCCAGTGCCACTAAAAGAGTGAGCCCAGCATCATTTCCCTACCCAACAGCTATAAATGCTTTTTTTCAAAGCACAGAAATTCCTTTTTGAAGATGCCCTAAAAATACACTTTCAGAGCAGGCAGAAAGGACACATTCCCCTTTGGAACAATTACTAGATCCTTAGACTGCTCAGCCAGGATGCGAGAGAGCTTGACTATTTCCAGACTGATGGGATTCAAACCCGTATCTATTTCCTTTCCAAACATTTCCCTAATCACTTCCCTAATCCGGCTTGTTAGAGAGAGGGACGAGAGAAAGAAGGGGATTAATCTTGAGTCCTGCAGCTGAACTTGTTAATTTGTCCCACACAGAGCGAGCATGCTTTGGACTATGCAGTTCAGTGATAAGGCTACTTGATGGTGGTGGGCCAAAGGCTTTCAATTTGCATTCCTGTTCCCAGGATAGTTTGCTAAGGCATTGCTTGTCAAAAGTTCTGATTACAATTCAGTAGCTACTATTGCAGACATCTTCTGGACAAGTAAACAGCAGAGAAAGTGTTTGTGCTATTGCAGTGAGACCTGGATGTCTTCTGAAAGAACAGAATGGGCATGCTGAGATAAGAAAAAAAGACTAACAGATTTTTCTTGTTCAGAAGATGAAGAACAAAAACCCACAGCAGTACCAGATATCAAGTTTTAACAGTCCATGGAATACTGATCTAAATAAAAACAGATTTCCCATTTCCAGAGTGAGGTTGTCAATCACCTATAAATTACAAATTATAGAATTGAGTAACAAGGCACATCCCTTGTATGATTCATATGAAAATAATTCATGGAAAAGCACTTTCTCTATCATATCATTAGCTATGGGGGAAATGTATAATCCGGATGTGTGACCAGAAAGGTTGTTTATGTCATCTAAGATGAGCCATGTGCATGACTGTCTTCAAAATCTTAAGTTGAACTTGCACAGGATCTGTTGTTACACAAAAGCACTCAAACAGGACATTTAGGACCTGTCTTTAGCCATTTTTATCCCTGAACCCACTGACTTTGTATAGGATGTACTACAGCAGACCAATTAATAACTGTCCAATATGAAACTTAACAGGACAGCAAAATATATGCACACACATACATAGGCATACATTAAGCATAAACATTGCTTTGAGATCTCTCTGCAAGCTCCACATACATATAAAATAAAACTAAGGACACAACATTTCAATGCAAGGGGTATTTTTTTGAAGAGAAATTATCACATATCTCTGAAGCCCACTGGTCCACAATGAGGCTGTAGTTTCATCATTATTTTTTCTGTGCAAAGGAAAACACATCTGCCTAAAATATGAGCAGAAATCTCCAACTAGAGTAAATGAATTATTAATTGTTGCAAGGTAGCTTTTTAAGTAAGTACCTTAACTAGCACAGTAAGAGCACAACATTCTCTCCAAACTACTTAATAGAGTTTTCAATTCCCTAAAATAACATACCACTTTTAGAGAAGCTGACCACATTTCTTAGGTCACCTCTGAAATCTAGATCCAGCAGGTTTCTTTCTGCTTTATTTTGATGAGCAAGTAGGATAGTTTGTGCCCTCTAACTTTATATTTCTTTGTACCTTCATCAGAACTGTTGCACTTTTCTGAAGGTAGCTTTTGAAGCTGCACATCAAGGCAGCAATGCTTGCTTGCTCAGGGTGGGAGGGGGGGAAGAAAGAAAAAAAGAAAAAAGGAAGAAGCACCCTTGAGCTATTTAGTCACCAAAGGCATTTATACCATTAAGTTATGGGATTTGAACTTGCATTTGAAGCAGCTGTAGTGCAAATCACACAGAGTTTTCAAAAGCAGACGCTTTCTAGTACCAACTATATGAGCACTTAATTCTTCATTAATTCTTCAATTTGCTAACAAAGATTGGGAAGTGATTACCACTACTGAAGTCTTATTTATGTTTATCCACTTAGGGTATTTAACACACCACCACCAGCCCCTGCACCAAGGAGGAGCAGGGATTTAGTAAAGCCAATCATAAATGCAGAGCTTTCAATTGCTTGCATTAGAGCACCAAATACTTTGAAACTACAGTGTTAGTGCTATTTATATCTTTCAATTATAAATAGGTCAGTTTTTACTTTCTATTTTCCATGTAACAATTTTAAAGTATGACCTAGTAGTGACCTCACTGGAGAGCTGTACAAGGAATCAAGAGAATAAAACTGTAGGAGACAGCAGCAGAGGCCATACTAAGTAAGTATATAGAACTGACCTTCTCAAAATACCTTTATTTCCTATGTTTTGACTAGAAGCTGCTTAAAAATAAATCTTTTGGCTATACTGATTAGATCCTCTTCTTCTCAAGTGCATATTTTAAAGAGCAACAAAAAAAGAAACTATTTGAAATGCCTGCTCATGCTCTTGAATTTTAAACAATTCTTTTTATCAGCAAACTTTTCCCAGAACTTCACTATGGATAGCATTTCCAGTTAATTCAAGGTTGGTGCCTAAGACCACAGGAATTTTCATACAAACAGAAAGGCTGATGTGAAAATTCACTGCAAACCAATTTTTATACCATTACTGAATATTGACTATTATTAATAAAGATAGCGCTAAGCTTTGAAAAACAACAAATGCTACCCAAATTGGAACGATGCATTGAAAAACCCTTTATACAGGGGAAATCCCAAACTCTCATTATGTCACAAAAACATGTTTACAGCAATACTTAGACACTTCATACCCAAGTACCAATAAAAAATCAAATTGCAAAATTAATGCTTTTTCTTACAACGCAGAACACTTTTCTTACACAGTTAACAGGTCTAATTTCTAAAACGGCCTTCCTGGCATTAATAAAAATGTATAACTAACTTGTGATTTTAATAAACCATAATTTAATAATGCCATAACAATAATTACCAGAGTTGAACAGCGTTGTGCTGATAGCATTATTACTATCATCACTATTAATAGAACCTATTCTACGGACAAACTTTATGGTGTTCACTGGGACAAGGCCAGTCTCAGTTTTTTTCCCAAAATCCTCTTTCTATGTTTTTCCCTTTCCTCTGCTACCCACTTACTTTAATTTACATTTAAAAAAAAAAAAAAAAAAGAAGAAGAAAATAAATCCCTCACACCTAACTCTATAACCAGCAAGCTACAAGAACACAAACTCATCTTGTGAGCTACCTGGACATCATTTTACATGTATTAATGGCATCAAATCTTTGTGATGCATTGCTGTTAGTCTAATCATGCTTTCTTCCTACCTCCACATCATATATCCTTACATAAGCAATAAAGCTAAAGTGAATCATCTTCTCTCTCCCTCCCACACCTATCTCCACTGCTACAACAGTATTAATTTGCTTCCCTAAGTTATAGTAATTCCTTAAAGCTCAGTAATAATTAGCTTCAAGATTATTAAAGTTGCTCTTATAATGCAAGAGAGATTTTTATTGGCTTTCCTGTTTTTCTTGAGGTTCTTGAGCTGTGTACATCTTTTACTTCTCGAGATAATGAGTCAGATTCGCTTGTAACAGGTTTAGTTAAAACCTGGGAAAACTGATTAATTTAGAAAGACGTAAGAATTTATGGTTAGCTCTGAAATTAAGAAACTCAAAAAACCCTCCAAGTAAACAAGTAGGTCAAGTAGAATATCAGTAGTCACAGTTCACCCGACACAGCAAGCTCATGGCTACATTTTCCATTTTTTGTCCCTAAGCACCAACATCAAGAAGTGTCCAAAGTTCTTATATGGGAATTAGTGGGGGTTTTTTTTGAAATTTAAATTATAAAACTATAACCTGTAGTTCATATTCACACTGATGGGGGAAAAAAGGGAAGAAAAGAAAGCTCTTCCATAAGATCACAGGAAGTATTATTAGATGCATTTCAACTACAGATTTGACTCCTACCTTGAAATCAAAACTGTATGGGGAAACAAAAATAAATAAAAAAAAAAAAAACAAAACAAACAACAGGAAATGATATAAACCAGAAATAGTCAGAAAAAGAAAGTCAGTAACTAGATTATTGCAAAGTATCTGTATTAAAAGGAATATAATAGTCTCATAATCAGATCATAAACTTATAAGACATTCGGTAGAAAATGAAAAGCTCTCTCAATTTTCTTTCCATTTCAGGTGAACAAAACTTCAGTTTTGGGCACTGCATTTGATACATAAATTAAAACACTCAGAACCAAGAAAGGTACTTTGTATTTTTGAAAGAGTCAAGTTCTAGCACGAGAACTTCCTGAAAGACACATTAGACTATATACGTATTTTTTAATATTTAGTGAAAAAAACAGTAATTTGACTAAAGCTCTCAACTTCTTATTCTAATTTATTCTAAGTAGTATCAGAACTACTCAGCTCTTAAACCAGCAAAGTTGAACTACTGAAAAAGTAACCAGAATATAAAGCTTTACAGGTTTTTCTTACAGTTTATTTGCCAATATAGGATCATCCTTAATTCATGTGCAGAGTAATGTAGGCAAATCTTGTTCAACTGAACTGTTGTTCATGAGCTGCAACCATGCTTGCACAGATAATGAAGTGAAAGAGCAAAATATTTGAAAGAAGAGAGAAAGAGAGGTCTGTTACAAGTCAAATACAAAAACTACAAGAACCCTTACCACTTTTAAATATATTTAAACTGTAATTAGATTGCTATAAACCCTTAGAGCTTGATACGAAGTAAGCCAACGTAAAGCATATCCATATCTGCATAAAACTGGCCTATGCCATTAGTCAACATTTTTGCAATCTGTGATGCAGTCTATCCTGGTTCTTAGATATTGTACTTACTCGTGTTAATTTCTTCTGCTATATAGATATCTTCAGCTTGCACACATTGATCCAACATCTCAACAAAACGTTCTTGAATTTCTCCAGCGGCCTCATCACCAAACTTATAATCACTGAGCATGACACTGGATCCAGCAACAGGGACAAACAGTCTTTGAGGTAAGACGTGATATTCCCTCTCAAAATCTAAAAGAAAAGGGGAGGGGGGAAGGGAATAACATCCAAATAAGCCAGTTATGATAAGATTCCTTATTAACCTCTGACCATAAGATAGAGCTATTGCAAAAGAACTGCTCAAGGTTTCCATGTAAAAATCCTGTTTTCAGGCACGGCGTGTTGAGTTGTTATTGTTTTATGAAAGTTTTGGCTGCTATTATACTGATTTATGTTCTTACATTATTCTCTCCAGAAATACCCAATAGACCTCCAAAAAGATCATAAAATATTAAACAGACTTTTTTTCATGTTTAGAACGACTAGCAAAAGAACTCTGGGAAAGACTGCAGATAAGAGCATACACAGAACAGCATATGACTTCAACACCACAAAGGATTGCAAACACTTGGCTGCTTTATGCCATACTCAAAGCCACAAAGTATGTGTGCCACCTAAAGAGGAAATTGAAAACTGCATGCAATTGAAAACATCAAGTTTGAATAATGCAGGTAGGATAAAGTTGGCTAACATCAAAATGAACCACGTTATCCTAAAGTAAATGGTAATTCTGAATATGAATTGTTTTTTCTTACACAATCAACCTGCTTCCATTTCTTTTCTATTTTTTCTAAAATCACTACCAAAGATAGTATATTTAAAAAGGCTTCCCTTTACATAAGATCTTCAAATTGATATTTCAATTAATTAATAACATTCGGGTTAAAAAAAAAAACACACAAACAACAAGAGGATAACTTGATACCATTGCACTGACCAAAAGAAGTTTAAAGAATCACCCAGCATGAGCTAGGAGATCTGGTCTCAGCATATACCCCCTTACTTTTTAATATAATGATGATAGGAAGTTTTATTTTCATTAGATCAATTTGCATTGTGTTCTGGCCTCTGCATGGTACTCTGTTAAATTCAAGCTAATGCAATTATTCATGGTGCTGAAATAAGATCTACTTCTTTAAATGACACAAAGCTTGTAAAATAGTATTTGATGAAGAGAAATAAGTTCAGGGGGCAGAGACAATGCAGATGATGTATTTGTATAGTTACTTAGGAAAAAAAATCAGGATACTTCTTCACATCATAATCACCACATACAATGCCATATTTAATTTAATGGAGATGAACTATTGACCTTCAGAGCTCATGTCCACTAGCATTTGTAACACAGGTAACATAAGAAGAGCTGGTGCTTTGAATCCTACTAAGTTTTAGCATACTTCAATATTAATAGGAATACAATGGAGTGATTTAAAAAAAAAAATTAAAAACGTGCAAGTTACAGTTAGAACTTCAGCGACACAAGTTTCAACTACAGAATTTTTAAAAATTACAGAATTTCCTATCAGTGAGAAAGAAACTGAAATTGCATTCTGTGGTCATGAGAACTGAAGATGAACTTTGTGTGAAAGCTGTCATGCCAAAGAGCATATCTGAACTTGACAAAAATTCTCATGATTTAAGAAAAAGTCAAGGCTGCCAAACAGGAATTGTGTCATTTGCTTTTTATTCTGCTCTAACCATACTGGAACTTCAGTACACCAGCAGAATTTTCTACAAGAACCAAAATTCACTGCAAATGTAAGCTGTTTTTTCTCCGAATTCCTACTTTTTTTGTGAGGTCCTTCATTTATAATGAGATCTTCAAATAGTATTTCACAACGATCACTCAATGTGTTTATTATGTCTCTTTTCAAAGCCTGCAAGGACAAAGCGAAAACATCAGTAATAGAAAAGCCATTTGCAAAGCTTCTGACTACCAAGAAAACAAAAGAAGTCCCTCATAAGTTTAACCCATCTTGAAAGAATAGTTTTTCCAGAAAATAAAAACTCCAAAGAGAATTAAAAATAGTCCAATAAAGAGAAGCTAAGGTCAAAAGAATTAAAATAAAAAAAGAAAACAACAAAACAAAAATGAAAAGCTGAGGAAAATATTAGTATTGTTAGAGTAAGAACTAACAACCTCTAGACATTACTATTAAAACCAAACAAAAATAATCACAAGGCATTGACTCAGTCAGGAAAAAAAATAATCACAGCCTAATCACTTTGACAATTTGTGCAAAGATTCATCAGAGAACAGCCTTAGCAACAGAAGACATAACCTGCTAAAAGTGAAAAAGGAACTGAATTCATCACACATGCACACAGATGGTTTCTAAAACAATCCATATGTTCAAGGGGATGAACATTTTGACCCCAGCTTAGACCATGTCATTTTGGCAAAGAAAAATCAGTATGACAAATTTCATGTATTTCAGAAAAAAACAGTTCTGATAAGCTAACAACCTTTTCACTACCTGAACAGCTTCTTTAACTTTCGGCTTGTTGTTATGTATGTAGGCTCTGCATTTCACAGCACCTTTGAGATTTATGGAAGCACTGCAGACCTGGACTGTAGCTGTTGATCTATGACCTGAACCCTGGGACTGAAAAATAAACACGTTTCAGTTTTATCTTGTTACCAAAGCACTTGCAGCATGAGTAACAAAAAACAAAACTAGGAAATTAAAAGCATACCTTAAGATGTTTACATATAACCTGTTTTCCCCTCATAATTTCTCTCTCTAAGGTTATTTTTTTTAGTGTTGTTAGTTAACACTGAAAATCTCTCTCCTTTTCCATTCTGTAAAATGTATTTAGTTTTCCAGACATTCTATTTCTTGCAATTTAAATATTTGTGTCTGTAAGACTTCTAGAACTTTTCAGGCAAGTGGCTTGGAGCTAATATTAATATTGCAATCTAGAAACCTTTTTAACATTATTTTTTTAAAGTTATGAAGTTTGTATGTTTACCTACTTTTAGTAAGCATAACCTATGGTACCCTGAGAGTCATCCCATGAGTCAGTACTAAATTATAAGTGTGGTCACATTTAAAATTCTATCAAACTGTTGCCTAGAAATATTCCTCCTAATTACAAAAACAACGAGTGTGCTGTATGAAGCACTCTAAGACAACACCTGGAAACATGGGGATGCATAACTTCCACATGAACTGCATAAACTACTTTTGACAAAATAAAAAGCTTTCCTTTCTCTAAGGCAATTAACCACTGGAACAACGTAACAACAAAAGAAGCTGAGATACTCATCAAGTCTTTAAAATGGCATTTTATACATCTCTAAAAGTTTTGCTAAACATAGATTCAGAGAAACCAGGAACTACCTGACAAAAACGGGTGGCCTGTGCTGTGCAAGAAGCCTACAAAACAATGGCTGGACACATTTGAACTTTAGGACCTAGACTGTGGCACCTAATTCAGGGTTCAAGTCAGCATAACCTCTGGTAGAGAGGAAAATCCTGACACAGACCTGACAGCTCCAGATTATGATTCAGTTTGCAGGATCTGTACTTTAATCCAAAACTAGTGACTGAACTTTTGATGAAAGCATTCAAATAAACGTCCATAGCTAGCCACGGCAAGTTGAAGCATGGGGGTGATTCTGAACTTCAGAACGATGCAAAGTCACCTTGAAATCAATGTATGCTGGTACGTTCAGGTATCCTACTATCAAATGAATTAGTTTGCAGGACTTAATTTCTATAACCAGTTTTTCAAACTTTCCTTGCAGCTATACTGTGCAATTCTTAGACCACATGCTTATCACAGCATGAGAATCTCCAAAGACATGAAATACACAGGTCTGTACACAGTTTCACAGTCAATATCCACGAGGGAATAAAAAGTCTTAGGACAAAGTAAGCTGGATTTCTAGACAATAATTCAGAATGTTCTCTTATTTTTTATTCTATTTTATAAGATAGCAGAGAGGTTATACTTTACAAAGCACTAAACACTTACCAGCTGTGTCAGAACCTTGACATCAGAAAACTGAGTGCTGGATTGAGTATTTCCTCTTAACTTTTTCTGAGGGAAAAAATTCTGTGTGTCATGAAACAGGAACAAAATCTCCCTGAATCAAAGTCTCCTCACTATGGTATAAAATGTGCCCTAGTTTACAGCTTTTCAGAGAGAAAAATGGCACATAGAAAACAGTCATGAGAATAAAATTACAAAACTAAAAGGAGAGATGAATGCATCAGCCAAACAATGTGTTTCCACTCTCTGTTAAACACTTAGACATACGTAGGTCTTAGAAATCTCATCACCTACATTCACATCTTACTCATGTTCTTTACTGAGGAGACAGCATACAGAAAATTTTTAAATTGGACTTCACATACAATTATTGCATTCATGTTGCCAGAGGAAGAAGAGGCAATTTGCAGCAATGAAGATGTGAACACAAGCAGTCCTGCATTATTAGTTACTTGAAATAGGCCAATTAGATCAACAAATGTTGTACAGAAGACATCTCAGTCAATGCTTTATCATAGTGGAGGTTCTAACTACACATCTGTTAGAGTTCAATTCCTTGTTGTTCGGTACTCACCTGCCCTTCCAGTAGTTCTGTATCATCATCTTTAACTTGTCCATTGATCAGAAAAACACTGTCTTCTATCTGTTTTGACCATCGATTTAATCCATTCTTTAAAAAAAAAAAAGTGAAAACAAAAATCTCATAAGAGGAAAGAGAATTTCACTAAGAGTTGGACAAGAGCATGCTGAAAATTATAGAAACTTATGTTTCAACAGTTACTCTGAGAGAGTTTTGAAGTCTCTGAAAAATCTGTCCGTATGTTTTTTCCAAAGCTAAATCTTAAAACTGACATGTTCAGATTATGTCCATTAAGAAACAAGCATTTCAAAATATTTAAGTGCTACCCCAGGGATTTTATTTTTGTAGAGAGGGATGCAGCCTATTGAAAGTCAATTCATATTAAAGGCAAGCCATATCCCTGTTCTAATTGGATGTAACCTTTACTAGGTGAAGCAGAAGAGACTTTAGTTGGAATAACCATGACAATTGCTAAATAATTCTGAGCAAAGGAAACTGCCAACACTAAGTATGGCAGAAGAACAGCTATCAGCATTTTTTATACTATGAATGCTTCACAGTAACTTGAAATTACATTTAAAAGAGGAATAACTGCCAAACATTCTCTGCTGATTAATCCTGCTCCTCTGTTCACACTACTCAAAATCTTTCTCTCTCATTTAATTTTCAACAGAAAAAGTAGTGTAGAGACCAACTACAAAACTGGTGCAGACGGTTAGTTACCTTGGTATTCTTCTCCAAGTCATGGTTCAGTGAAGTAGCAAGAAGAGGAATGTGAATATTAACATTTACTGTGCAGTCCAAAGCTAACCAGGAAGCAGACAGAGCACTCTGATATTTCCAATCTGCTGGTTTAGCTGAACTCTGAGAGCAGAAATAAGCAATAAATCATCTATACAAAACACTGTATAACTCAGATTTTTTTTTTTTTTGAAACATTACTTCTCATACATTAAAAGCTGTATATGACATGCAGGATGACGGGCTTACCTTTGGATCTTGTACATCATAGGTTCGGCAAACTACTCTTTGCTACTTAAAGAAAAAGATCCAGTGGAAAGCAAAAAAATGAATAAGAACAATTTGCAATTACTTTGTCCTTTATTTAACTTCTCTGTTGAGCTAATTTATGCTCTGAATAAAGTTCTCACCTTTCATTAGTTCAAAAAAGTGGAAAAACATTTGACTGTAAACTCCAACTATCATAGTGATGCTGTCCCATCTCTTACAAATACATTAAGATCAACAGGTATTCACAGGGAGAACCACCAATGCACCAATTTGCAATTTGTCCTTGTCTCTCTCACCTCTAAGGAAAAACATTGCTTTCCCTCCTTGTATTATCTCATAAACAGACCCAGCATTCTTCTGCAGCACTAGTACTAGTACAGATCCCACATGCCTGCTACTTCCCCACTTCCATGGGTAAGAGCAAGCTCAAGAAGCTATACAGTATTTTAGATGTTTTCCTCAATTTATGCAGATCAAAACTGACTGGGGAAGGCCTAATTTGATGCCACCACACACACAAACTTCACAGTAAGAAATGATGGAAATTTTGCAAGGATAAGAGGGTCTTACTCATGGCTAATCAGAAAACTCCATGATTTCAACTTACTGATCTCTGCCTATCTGAACTCAAACAACTTTCCTCTCCCAGTTTATCATTTATTCAGAAATAACAACAGAAACAAGGTTGGGGGTAACAGTCTCAAGCAATAAAGCTTGCTCATAAAGGATACTTCTTTGTAGCAGAACAAATTTGAAGAGCTGCTCTGTCTGAGATCTCCTCCTCAGCAGGTTTCCAGAGCCTTCTTTTAGTCAAGGACTTTTCCACTGAGAAGATTAGCTAAAGATGAAAAAGGTATTATGGCTTTTTCCACAAAAACAATACATAGTAATTTCTGGAAAATAGACTTGCACTAAAGTTCTAAGTCCAAGTGATATCATAATTATGTGTAAACAAGATATATAGCTTATATGGCACCAAAATGTCACATTAAAAGAACATTCAACAAAGATTCATAGGCAACTACTCCAAAGTGAAAGTTGCTTGTGAACTCTTAATTCAGCTTCCTTCTAAACTGAACTAAGCAACATACATTCATATATTCAACCTGTATGCTTTTCTCTCTACAAAAATATTGCAGCTTTATGCCTATCAGTTGAGGATCCGGAAAGACAGCTATGCAAAATAGCTACTAATTAAAAAAAAAAAAAAATTTAATTCAGGAATCATGGATGACCCAGACACAGCTCGCCTTTTTTGTTCGCTACTTGTTTCAGTAATCACAACTGAGATGCGGTTGCATTGCACTGCCAGAATTGAATCTTGGACCTTAGGCTTCAAAACCGACTCACGTTTAAATCGCTTATCATGCTTACCTTATGAAAACGATAAAATGAACCTACATCTACAGAATAGAAATTAAATGTGGCACTAGATGCCCCAATACTGTAATAAAAATGCATTTTAAGTCTATCAGACAGTAGCACATTCTAAGTAGTTTTTAAATATAACCCCACACACCTAAGTCAAATACCACTAGCTCTACACAAGATATTTGTTTTAAAGGAATCAGAACTATAGATCTCTCACTACTGTAAACATCTCTAACCTGAACAATTCATTCAGACAGAAAAAGCTAACATGCTACCACTACTAACAATTGTGCCACAAGGATTTATCTTAATATAAACTTTGAAGATGTTTTCCTTAAGCTAGAATGTCCACTTTCAGTAAATACAGTAAGATTTGCTTTGCAGTAACAAACATCACAAGAAACAAAAAGTTAGCAAATATAAGCTGTGGTACAGTCCCACAGGAGAGTGATTTCTGAGGTTTCAGTCTCAAAACCATACATCAAACCAGAACATTTGTGCTTTTAGAAATAAAGCAACAAAACAACCATATAAACTCAAGACAATGATAGAAAATTATTCAGCTACGCATCTAAAGATAATCCTGTCTTTCCACCAGGAAGTATGCTTACCTTGCGCAAAGCATTTTGACTATCTTTTGACAGTTCTGGAGTTGCAATAATAAATACACCAAGAACTAATAAGCCTCCAGGAAGCATTCTAGAAACCTTAAAAATAGAAACGAACATGTATTAATAGGAATCAGAGATCTAGCAATCGTGTAACTTGATATATCAAAAATTTCTAATGAGACAAGTATGCATCAAGAGCAGAAATGAAATAAGCAAGACTTTTTCACTCATAGGTTCCTCTGAAATGTAGGAACACAGCACCTTGCAAATTTTCTCACTTTATTTCTATCAAGTCTCTGTTTCATGACAAACTTTGAAAACTAGACAGATATTTTGGTTTAAAATACCTGTGCCTAGCATGGTTAGGAAGGTTCTTTTACTTTGAGAAAAAGGCTTGAGATTACACAAGCAATGAGATAGTTTTTGTAAGTCTTATTTCCTTTCTGTTCCTCCCACCCCCTTCATTAACTCATACTGTGCCACCTGGCTGGCGTGTGTAGTTATCCATTCTTCATCAATGGATGCTAGTTTTGAAGGACTGATGTTGTCTTCCTTCTGCTCTTCCTTTGGAGGTGTTCGAACAGCCCAAATTACGTAGTCTCTTTGCGGGGAACACTTTCAAAAACATCAACATAAGCATATACAACATGAGGTTGGTATCAAGTCTGAGAACATACTATGTAATATAGTAGCTATAAGGTCTGCCTTATAGTAGGTATCATTAAATTCTACAGTAACCTGTTACAAAAATAATTCCTTCATGAATTTGCCTTTGCCTTAAAGCCTTGTTTAGTGATAAGTTTACCTTAAAATTTTAATTTCTTTTCTGTGTGTCGTATCTTTCACAAAATGATTTTAAAAGTCTTGAGTAGTTGGTTGACACTGTGAACCCTTTACAGAAGTCCCTTCTGGTCATATTACCACCCTCCCGCACTATACAAGCTCAATGTGATGTTAATGGACTCATCGCAGACGATTAAGGCCACAGGGGTTTTCCCCTATTAACATGAATTAATAGAACAGACTTCAAATATTTCACACTTACCTGCCCTATTAACAGGCCAGTGACATAAGGCTTTACTTTTGTGCTGAGGTCTGAAAGATACTGCCCAATAGCTTCTTCAACAAAGTAAGTTCTACCCATTGCTGTAGGTTTAAGACTAAGTACTGTAGTTTCAACCTACAAAACAAATAATGTATAAAGGCAAAGAAAATACATATACTACACCAGTTACCTGACAATACAAAGATTGTATTACACAAAGATCCTGAATAGATTAATACTTTAACTGTCAAAGGTTAGTTAAGTAGCTTTATAATCTGCAAGTTTGTTTTTTTTAAATGAAAAACATAACTCTCTATACTAATGGAAGAAGTATGTGACCCTTATTTGAAAGAAAACTATTTTAAATACATGTCACTGAAATGACATGGCAAGTCATGCAAGCAAATGCTAGGAAAAACATGTCTCCAAGCAACAATTTTTTGCTGCATTATGTTTCATCAGAGGCCAGAACGGAAGGTGTGCATTTTTGCGTTCATATTCCTCTTTGAGGGACTTGCTAAATTCCACACTTGTACTTAAACATGCTATGCACCATTTTCATTCCAATTCCTAAGGTACAGCATCCGTGGACTATCCAAAAGGCCATCTTTACAGCTCCCATCGGTAGCCATACGAATGCAGGACATGGGGACTGCCACAGACACTCCTCCCTTCCGTGCACAACTACTGCGAAAACGGCTTCATGCACTGAGGACTTTCACAAAAATTAACTATGAAAACGCTGAAGCCAGAAAGCACATGGTGAGGAAGCAAAGGGCATTCCGAGTCCTCGCAAAGGTGTCTGCTGGAGAAAGCTGCACAGGGATGGCGGAGCTGAAGCTCTGAACCGGAGCGAGGAGGAAGGCTGTCACGCACCTCACCCCAGCCCACACGGCCGGGCCAAAAGCAGCTCTGCACCCGCCTGTACCTACACTCGAGCTCCTCCCACAGCTCGGCGGCCGCTCCCGCACAGCTCCCCCACCGCCTCGGGGCGCGGGCCACCCCCAGCGCTCCCCGCACTAGCCTGACAGGCGCGGCCACCGCTGAGTCCCCAAGCTCAGCCACCGCCGCCGCTGCCTCAGCCGAGCACTGAAGTGGCCAATGCCCGCGTCACCGGCAGGCGCCGTTCGCGCCTCGGCACAGGAGGATGACGCAAGCCAACCCAGACCCGAGCGCGGGAAAAAGGCGCGCAGAGGGAAAGCTCCCCGCCAGCACCGCCATGCTTTGAGTGGCGAAAGCGGTAACGCCTCCTCCTGCATCTCCCAGGCGCACAGGACGCCTTAGAAGGGCGAGCGGGTCGCGGCGAGCTTCGAGACGAAGGCTTCGAGACTCCTGTGTCGATATCAGCGGCTTTCATGCCTCAACCACCAACTATAGCCTCACTCAACATGGCGGAAAGAGTTGCCCTACCGGAAACGGAAGTGCTTGTAGGCGCGCAGCCGCCTTTCTTGAAAACTACACTTCCCATGATCCCGCGGGGCCCGGGCCGCTCGCTCGCGCATGCGTCATTGTGGCGCCTGCGCCGTTGGGCGCGTCGCGGCCGGTGGCGGTTAGGCCGGAAAGCGCAGCGGCCCTCTGGGGTGCTTCCAAGATGGCGGCCGTGCTGCAGCAGGTCCTGGAGCGGGCTGAGCTCTCCAAGCTGCCCAAGCCGGTGCAGGGGAAGCTGGAGCGCTTCCTGGCCGATCAGCAGAGCGAGATCGACGGGCTCCGAGCCAGGCATGAGCGCTTCAAGGTGGACAGCGGTGAGTTAGGGGAGGGGGCAGCTGGGAGAACGGGAATGGGGGGGTGGCGCAGAGGGAACGGGGCAGGCCCCGGGCTGCTTCGTGCGGAGGGGGCTGCGCTGCCCAAGGGCTAAGCGGTATCCGTTCGTCTTGGTGCTCGCCCAGAGGCAGCGGGCCGGCAGCTCGGCTGCGGACGGGTGGGCTGGGGTCGGGCCGGGTGCCCCCTCTTCCGACGCGCTTTTAATGAGTATCAATGTCGTAGTCCCCTCTGATGAGAGGAGTGAGGGAGGTAGGGCTGGGCTTGACGGGTCGTTGTTGTCTTCGAAACGCTTTCAGGGGGTGACCTGCGGCCCGTGAGATGGTTGTGTGCGTCCTCTGCCTGGGAAGGGGCCCTGAGGCGGGGGGCGTGTCCGGTGGTTGGGAAGGGTCCCTTTACTTGAGACCTGGTAGGGTTGTTTCTCACACTTCTGCTTGGCAAGACGAGTCTGATTTTTTTTTTTTTTTTTTTTTTTTGGCAAAGAACTATTCAGGGTTAAAACTGCATTCAAAATGGGCTTACAGAACAGCTTTTCATCAGGTTGTTAATAAGCATTGGTATGCTTCAGTTTGCTTTGATCCTTGTTGTGGAAGAGAAATTAATAAAGTGTCGTGTAAACTAAGGTAACCCACAGGTTTTAGCAGGTTAGTCTCTTTAAGGTCCGTTCTTCTCGTGTGCCTGGAGGGGCAGCCAATATCTTTGAAACTGTAAGCTATGATAGGAAGCGTAAGATAAATAAAAATTCCTCAGTACTTCTTTAGAAGCTCACTATGCCTGAGAGTGAGATTAGTTCTGTTTTTGCTAAGTATTTTTACTAAATATTTTAAATTAAGTTCTATGACACAGTTACTGTTTCAGATAACCAAAATTTAGATCTAATTTTTTTCAGTGCTGTGGGATATGCAGCATAGAGCACAAGAGTTCATTTTAAGAAGCATTCATCTAAATCAGATCTCTTGATACCTAGGGTTATGTGGGTTTTATTGTATGTGTATAGAAATACGCTACAGGTAAAAGAAGTTTTAAGGTGGTGAGACCACACTGGGTAATTGTGCTGATACAACATTCTCTAGCTACATCAAAAATGTTGAAAAACTATTAAAATTAGTTAGGCCGTTATTTTATGGATGGTTTCTAGAAACATATCACTTTCCACGCTAACAAAGTATTTTAAACAATGTTAATACAATGTGGAAATGCGTCTTTTTGCCTTCAAAAATACTTTTTTCTTCAAATTCTACTGTAGTCTTATTATTTTTCGATATTTTCATTATAAATACCGTTCTTTAATAAAGATATCCATTAATAAGGATCCTTGATAAAGGTAAGAAAGAAAAAGAAATGTTTATTAAGTGAAATTGAAATAACATTGTTATTTTGCAGAACAACAGTACTTTGAAGTAGAAAAGCGTCTGGCTCAAAGTCAGGAGAGACTTGTAAATGAGACACAAGAATGTCAAACTCTCCGTGAGGAGCTTAAAAAACTTCGTAAGTATAACTGCACGTTTTTAAGATTGCACAGGATATTCTTTCTTTAGTCTAATGTTATGCTGAAATGCTTTTAAGTTTTAAATAGGAGTTGAAAATCTGTCTACCAATTACATTTGTTATTTCTGCAAGTAGAGAGATGTTTTGCTTTTGTGTTTGAGTTTTTTTAATGGAATTTTTGTTCTAATGGAAAAAAAAAACTTGTCTTCTGATTTCTGTAGTAATAGTAGTACAGTGGGCTATGTATTGATCTTCACGATAAATGCCTCTGCTCTAAGGATCACATTAGTTTGCCACAATACTGCTTACTCCGTCCATAGTGAAGTCTTGAATTCTTCTCTTTCTCTCTCTCTTTTTTTTTTTTTTAATGTTGCTAAGGGAAATTTTGTGTTAATTGCATTTGGAGAGTGAATTCTGTCTTTATGTTACAGTGGAGATCCCTCACTAGTACTTCTTCTTATCCAACAGATGAACAGTTGAAGTTGCTGAATGAGAAAAATAAAGAACTTGAAGCTGCTCAGGATCGTAATGCAGCCACTCAGGTACTGGAAGAACTTGACAATAAGTTGAAAGACTTTGGTTCGCCTGTCTCATTGCAGCAAAGAATGCAATCAATTTTGAAACTGGACTGTATCAATATCAGTACAGATATGTACTGATGTATGTATTTACATGTCCGTATGACCATGTGTACAGGAAAATTGTGTGGGTTTTTTTAAGTAGATGCTGGTGTTTTAGCAAACTGAATTACAGGTGAACATATGTCAGAGCAGGTGCTTTTATTTCAGTTTGGATAGATTGTTTCATTCTAGGTGAAACCTGTTGTGAAGTGACTTTAAGCTGAACCTCAAAAATTGGACAAAGGTGTAAAGAAGAGTTCGGTTCTTTCCTCCATCCTTTCCCACACTCTGCCACATTTTTCCTTGCATTACGCTCAAAAGTCATGGGGTTGCAGGATGAGTCACTTCAGCTGACTGATCCAGCAGAACACTAATTTTGGAGCAGGAAGCAAAAACATTATTATTAGATTGATTTGTCCACAATGAGAAGACGGATCTGATTGTTTACCCAGAGGGGCTTACCTGGGCCTAACTGAAGTGATTTGCATTGAGACCTTAGAAGGCAGAGGCAGTACTATAGCCTGTAAATGACTGAAGACTGTTGACTTTTATTTGATTTTGATATTGATTTTTTCCATGTGTTCATTCCTTGGCTACTCTGTTATCTCTTTTATTTAACCAAATACAACTGTTTCACTGAAGTCTTAACTATCAAAGCTGTCATTCAAAGAATATTAAAATTGGATGCAGTTTTGAACAGTTCCTGTTGTTTGTTTTGGATTTCTGCTAGGCCTTCAGTTTGTTTCATCTGTTCCAAGTTCAATAACTTTCATTCTAATCTTCATTCAAATACAGCTAGAGGGAGTCTTGTGGCAGTATGGACCTCTCCATGCCAATTGAAAAGCAAAGGCATGAAAACTACCTGTTCAGTATGCTGGTCTTGAAAGCTGTGTGATACTTCTCTCATCTTTGCTGTCTAATTTTATGTGATAGTGGCGTTTCACATTTAAGCACAAAGGGCCAGATGGACATTGGTATCAGAGTGATTTATGAGGGGAAAAAAATTAATTTAAATGTGTTGGCTATTATGCACTAGAAGAAAGAGGTACATTAACCTGCATTTGATTGAATTATATACAGCAACATGATAGAAAAAATGGAAGCAGCCATACTTCCATACTGTGTACTTCAGACTGATTCAGCTGCCTGCTATAAAAGCCTCTTATCCCAGTTTTCAGTTGGCTGGGGTAATTTGCTCTGGTTTAGCATGCTTCTCTGTGTTGGTAAGAGTAAACAGTGACTCTGTAAACTTCTATAAACTGTTAGA